AATTAAGTTTTCTCAAAATTTCATTGTGTCATATAATAGTACACAGTTACTGTCTTTTCAAAATAATTGTAAAATAGTATTAAAAACTTGACCTGCCAGCCTTAGAGCGGTCATCCTATTTTTTTTTAGTTTAGACCACATGGTGGATGTGTGATGTTGTGCTCATGAGCATCACTAAGCAGCTTCTGAACCAATGAATCACCTTTCTTCCATTCAGGTCCCTGTAAAATGAGCTTGTCTCCTCCAATCAGCTGAGAGCTCCTCTACGCCCCAGCACTGCTCCCCTGAGCCTACTTTCAGACAGGAAGAGGAAATAGTTAAGGCCAATAGAGGAAACGACCAGTGGGATCAGTTTCACAGAGGAGAGTGGATAGGTGGTTTTTACTATGGGGAGTAAATGTCACAGGGAATGACTTCCTTCTTCAAAGACCAGCAGTCAAATCCCGACAGGTCCTACACTCACACAAATACCACTCAGTAGCATATGCACCATACAGTTTATATTATACTAAATGGCGAGGTAATATTCCATTACATGTCATCTCTCTCTAAACGTAAATTTAACACAAACATTAAATAGTGGGTGCTCCATGAAACAGTCGATCAAAGCCAGTACCATGTTCTCACAACATTATGAGTTTAAGTCTGGCAGCTGGCCAATGTTGCATTTCACCTCTTCTCTCTCTCTCTCCCCTCAGTCTCTCCTGTCACACTCCAGTGTATACTACCCAATAAAGCAAACACGCCATAAAAAATTATCTCCAAATTCTTCAAATTACTGCTCTCTCATTTCCGTTTTTATGAGGTAGAAAGTATTAGACAGTAACAAAATATCACGCACTTCATCTGTTGTGCATCAAGTGTAATATGGCCAAGAAGAGGAAGAAAGGCCACTGATTTTCTCCTTTTAAGCGATTTGTCACACGCTGTGAATGAAGCCAACAATCAGACCAAAAACGTTAATGTCGTGATATTTATAGGGTTCGATAAGGATATACTTCCAGATATAATCACTTTAAATGTTTTTTTTTTTCTCACATCGCAGAATTTGTTTTTTTGTTTTACAGTTCTAACAGCAGTGAGCCTTGATTGAACAGCATTTGGTGGAATATGACATGCTCACATAAAAATATTAAACCAAGTAGTGTATGAGGCAAAAAGCCATCTCAATCAATTAAGTTTAAGTATATGTCAGTGTTTCCGAGAGCTACAACTCATCAATTTATAAATATCTAGTGTTCTCAAACACCCACAGCACTCAAATACACCAGCAAACCACCCACATTTATTTTTTTTTCAAACCTACTTCTTCCCTGATGTGATATTATATATTTTTTATTTTTTATATCATGAGCCTTTTCATCGCATCAGCCTTGATGTCTTAGAAATGTCTTTTTAGCCCGCTCTGCTCCTCGCAATCAGATGAGGTCACAGCAGTGCAATAGACTCAAAGAAAGACGGCATTTTCACTTCGATTTGTGACAAAACCAACTAATAGCGGTCGGTTGCAGAGCAAATTCTGTGTCAAAGGCAGCTGGAATGGTTCCATCAACTGGAGGATGTCCTCTAGCTAGGGTTAATGGGAGTGGAGTGGGGGGAAAGGAACTACGGAGAGCGCCGGAAGAACAAAATAAAGAACTTTTCAGCTTGGATTTCTCAGAGTAATGCGGGGTCAAAAAACAGGGGTCAAAACCACAATGACATCCTAATCTGGCGTGCGCTTGCAATTGTGTGTACGTGTGTGCGTGTAATCCGTTCCGTGCGGCTCACATCATGTCTCATTTCAGCCCAGAATCACAGACAAAGGTCACCGTTTGACCTTTTCACAGCTCAGAATTGCTGCAGCACACTCGGCTGATTAGTGTACACACAGACATACGCAGACACACACAAAAACTGATAGAAAGACGCACACTCGCTTAGAACAGAAAAATGAAAGCAATACAGCCCTGAGCTGAAAGCACACCAAATCTTCTATTTGTAATCTTGGCCAACTGCACTGTGTAAGTACAATTTCCAAACATGTTTACTCTTGGATCCAAAATCAAAGACAGAGACCTAGTTTCTTTGTTATTTAAATTTATTCTGGTATTTTCTGATATTCTTTCCCTTTCTAAATTGCTCTCTCACTCAATCAATGGACAATTAACTTTGTCTTAATGCCATCGCACAGGCTGGTTTTTGTTATGTGTAAAATGTCATGTTTTTTTTAATGATCAATGTTGTGTATTTTGAGTAATTACTTGAACATAAACTGCTGAAATCAAGTGAGTGCTTGGACCTGGGTTTTTCATTTGTTACGCCGGATGGAAATGGTGGAGCTCAGTGCAAAGTACACTCACATATTATCCTAAAACTGCCCTTTGTCTCCAGACAACTAGCCATTACCAACTATACATTCTCATTTAAACATAGTGTATATATCAAGCCTGTTAAATTTCGGATGAATTGGACGGCTGGTTGGACAGCCTGTTCTTTTAACTGCTCTTGTTCATTAAAAGCTGGGTATCCTCTTAAAGCTCATTTCCCACTCCAAGTCAAAATGTAGGAATGTAATATAAATGTAGAAGAATGGGAGCTGGTTGCTTATTAGCAGATGGAAAAGAGTGTATTTAGTTGAGTCTGTACTCTGATGGCGAGCAGACAGGAACCAGGAGGTGTCGGCATATTGCCTGCTGTGTTCCTGGGACATAAAATGCTATACTGCTGTAACACATAGGAAGGATTTCTTGATTATAGGTAAAGCCAGCGGGATGCAGAGTTGATGCAGTGGCTGCTGAAGGTCTTGTGGCTTTTATGCAGCATTAACAAGCATGTGTGCTGATTGAACCGTTTTCCCTTAAAGTAGTGTGCATGCATAACAATGACAAACAGAAGGAAGCCAGCTCCCTGGTCACCACAGTAGTTGGCATGGCAACCAATATGGGACCTATCAGCACAGGTGGAACAGGGCTTTGGCCAATCAGACTACTTGGGCTGACCTACCTGGTGTATAAATGTCAGCGAGGGTCAATTGCTGCCACATCATCAGCGATGATGAAAACACACCATTACTGTCACAAAATGTCAACGTAGCCATGGATCTCAGCCTCTCCCGTTTAGAGCGAATAATGTGTGTTCAGTAGGCTTCTTGGTCTGTGTGTGTGAGCATGTTAGCAAGAGTAAGTGCTTTTTTCAGTGTGAGACAAAAGGCATGCTGGCTAGAATGTTCCCTCAGTATGAAAATTACTGTTAAGACTAACGACTCCTTTTCTGACAACCTGCTTTTGTGTTCACAGTAGCTTCTCCCATGGCTATTTGTCTTGGCGTGCTCAGTATTCAAGGCTGTCTAAAGTAAGGTTTAACTACATCTCTGTAAATCATAGGATAACCATCTCTAAATACAAATCTACACCACTGTCAAATGGCATCAACTTGTGCAGATGCTAAATAAGTCTACTCACATTTGTGATCCACTAATGGCCAATTCAGTGTCTGGGCTAATAAAAAAAAAACAAAAAAAACAAAAACAAAAGGATGCTTGGAAATATTGTACGCTGCTGGTGTTGTTCATGATTTTAAATGCTGTGAAAAGCCTCTTTACCGAGAGAAACAGGTAAAATGTTTCTCTTCAAATATCCTGATCTGTACTGTGTACAGTTATGTCCTGCTCAACCCTCGGTGTATGAGCTGTCAATGTGGATACTAGCTGCTCAGGTTGGCTGCTCTTTATTTGATCATGCTGCTCTGCACCATAAAAAATATTCAGAGCTTTCACTTCTACAAAAGTAGCAATAACACTTTAAGTCCTGGATTTTAAAGGTTTAGACTGCAGGAAACACTCGACTTTTAAAGTATGAGAAATAACCTTATGAAGGTCTGTGCTCCGAAACATTTATATAAAACTATACTTAAGTATAGTACTGGAGTAATTTTACTTTACTTCACTCCTCTGCTCTGCACTGCACTTCTCCTGTTGTAAGAGTTAGGGATTGGTTTCAATTGGATATGGACTAACATAGCCAATATTGATGACCTGAAATATGCCTGATACCGATCTTGCTGAATGGCTCAGAGCGCCCCTACTTCACTCATCTGATTCCTCCTGTCTTCTCCTTTCCCTCCCTGTTTTATCTGATCTGTCCCTTCCTGTCCGGTTCTGTTGTAATCTCTCCCGTCTCGTCCTGTTCTCTCTCCTGCTCCGTTTTGTTCTGCTCTGTTCTGTTCTGATCCAGGGCAGGGCTGTTAGCCAGAGTCACTCCAAACAGGCTGATAGATCCCTCTGGCTGCAGAGTGGATGGGAAACACATGGGCAGCCTTCACTTAAAACTCAAAAACAACTGCTTGAACAGAGTTTCCCATTGGAAAACTTCTACAGATCATCATGCTGAAACTTGGCAGGACAAGTCTCGATCCATATCGGCGGAACAGGCCCTTCGTTGTACTGAGGATTGGGTTTGCACTGGCGGGCTTGTGTGCCTTGGAAATGTACAATACATGCTCATACAATAAGACTGTCCAGTGTTGTGTGTGTATGTGTGTGAGAGAGCGAGGGAGAAAATATGAAAATATACAGAAACACAGAAAGTGAGATTTACCTAAAGTACCTCTTATGAATAATGCAAGGGAATAATATGACCCACAGACCAGGCGTATTGGACTGCCAACACACTATCATTTACACACAAACACACACACACTCACTGTTTATCCCTTAAGATGCTGTCTCCAGTCTCTGCACTACTAAAATATTAAAATACAACCCATGGAAAAAGATTTGGATGGAATCCTTTTCCTGCTGATATGTCAAATCTTATTGTTGATGTTACATCTGATAAATGACACCTGCATATCTTTGTGATATATTTATTCATATTTATTTATTGAGTTACAGGAATCACTTCCATTTTAGCTCATGGCATGCAAAGGGGTCTTTAGACTCGGTTACAAGTGAGCACCTTGCCCGATTTTTTCCACACAGGAAAAGTGAGTTTGACGAGTGTTTGTGTGTGTGGTTGTACCTGTTGTGGTGGTGGTCGCGGCTGTAGGTAGGGACTCTGGGTCGGGCCTGGAGGGGTCTGCTGAGGGGGGCTGAAGTACGGAGGGGTTCCCTGCTGCCCCGTCTGCTGCTGCTGCTGCTGCTGCTGCTGCTGCTGCTGCTGCTGCTGCTGGCTGTAGCCCCCCATCCCCTGCTGGCCATACGGCGCCACCTGCTGAAACAACCAATCACACATTGGTTAGAGGGGAGATATTAAGGTCAGGGCTGAGGCAGCAGCAAAACTTGTACTTTAAATTAAAAGCACTGGAAAGAGGCTGTTAGGTAAAATTAGCAGGCTACCACGGCAGGTGCCAGGTGACATACTGGAATAGCCAATCACATAAAAGCAAGAGAGTCTTCTAACCTAAAATCCTCTTGGAATGATTGAAAAATAAAAACAAAAACATCCCACATGAGTCTACACAACCTGGCCTCTATCCATTTTCCAATTCATCTGTTTGTCCCTCAGCTAAAAAGCTCTTCATTTAGCTCAGACCAGGCTGCCACCGGTCTCCCTGCAGTCCTCTGCCTAATGAACTCACACTGCAGAAACCTCTAACTTTATGTCCTCTGGCTTGCCAAATGCATCCTCCTCTCTACATTATCTCCATCTCGGTCAGCTCACAGATGGGATGAGGTGTGTTGGATATTACTGCAGGCCAGTCCCAGGCCGTAACCTTAATGAGGGACACATGGATGAGCCGGGGCATTCCAGAGCAGTGCATTTAAAAAAGTAACTCGCGAGGGCAAAGCCTCGGCAAGTGCCGGTGCCGCATTATACAGTGGTTGTGAGAGAGAATGTGAACAGGGAGTGCGTGTAACAAGCTGGCACCAATACAAATGTAGTCTTAATCCCTCCTTGTCGTTTGTTATGACTACAGACAGCGCCAGGTGCTCCTCACTCCTCTAAGGATTTCCTATCGAGGCAGGGGTTTTCTCATTCATGCCGCCTCACGTGCACACACGTGCACACACACACAAAAGCCAAGTACAGACTATTAAACAACATTTACGACCGCTGGTGAAGCAATATGACAGCACTTTTCTTGTAATATTTTTTGCCCATCATGTCACGCTGCTTTTTTATTCAGTGACGGCCAACAGCTCTGCCACAAACTCATTAAACGTGCACACGGGCTGTAATTTGGGACGCGCGCAAACCTCACAGTCCACCTCCAGCTTTTGCCCCGAGCTCTAAATGTTGAAATGTCCCTTTAAATCTTCCCTGGCGGGCTTGGCAAAGTAAAAAGTCTCCCAAACTGAGAGTGATTTATATCTCAAATGATGGTGTTACAGGGGAATCCGATGTGACGTAACTACTACACTACGGCCTTGTCAGATCAAAAGCAAAGAGCACACATCCAGAGTTGTAGCTTTACTGTGACTGTTAAAAGTGAGAAAACCCACTCATAAAAGCCTTGTTGAAACTGTTGGCTGGTGTAAAATACAGTGAAATCTGATCTGGCTGCAGAGGGCCAGTGGAGATTAATACGTTTGAAATAGTTTTGAAGTGTAACTTCCTTTGAGTGGGTGGTAAAAAAAGAAATCTTCTCTCTAAAATGGAAGAAGCTTTTTGACTCTGAATAGAGATGATTGGACAATGTAGAATACTTTTCACTTCAATGGAAATTTGATTAGAAAGGACAGGTCTGTGTGTGTGTGTGTGTGTGTGTGTGTGTGTTGTGCGAAGAGAGAGAGAGAGAGAGAGAGAGAGAGAGAGAGAGAGAGAAAGAGAGAGAAAGAGTGTGTGTGTCATTAGGCCGATGAGACAGACAGACAGGGTGAGATCAGTCTAGCTGGCAGAGAGGTTAATAGCATGGCCCTGCTCATGCCAACAGCACCACTGGATTCATTACTGCCAGCCAGGGCAACGCGCACACACACACGCGCACGCACACACACGGACACACACACACGCACATACTCACATACCGACATACTCAAATGAATGCACATGAATTCAAGTTTTCTGTGTATGGGGATTTGTTAAAGTAAGACAAACAAATGCTCACTCTCTCTATCACACACACACACACACACACACACACACACACACACACACACACACACACACACACACACACACACACACACACACACACACACACACACACACACACACACACACACGTCATTAGATGTGGATCAAAGCCACTGCGATAAAACAGAAGCAAGTCTATCCAGTGATCAGTGATGACAGGCTGGTGTAACACACTGGGTCTCAACTGGAACACTACTGTTCTGGGATTGGTAAGGATTAGGTCGCCATGGAGATCGAGACCAGACAACCGTGGGTGGGTTCCTTTTCCAGACAAACACAATGACGGGCAGACAGACAGATATTGGGGAGACAGTGACAGACAGACAGCGGAACAGATAGATGTAGGCAGAGAGAAAGACAAAACACAGGAAAAGGGTTAACAGAGAATTGCTCTTTTGCCCCGCCCCCCGAAAATCCTCTCGGTGCTTGAAATAACTCTGAAAAGCTAATGTATAAATAATAAACTACACTAGTTTCCGTTGTCTTTACAATTGTCAATTTGAGTTGCTGAGATTTTATATGTAAAAATAGACTGGGGACGTAGCCAGGAAGCGTGTTGGAGTGAGAAAGCTTGAACACACCAATGTTACATTTGTTGTGTCTCTTTGCTTCCTACCAGGATCAAGTGAATGACTCGATGGGTTAAAAATAAGTGTGTCGAGCTTCTTGTATAATGTCACATGATTCCTATTTCTTGCATTTTCAAGTATGCAAAATTAAATAACTCTTGCTATAATTTGGGGGCACTGATGTCCAAATTTCCCTAGTGTTACATGTATCATTGACAACATTTAAGGTGGCTGCATACCATTTAGTACTCTCCGTGCATGAACTGTCCAGCTCTATCTGTAGGTCTGTTTTTACACCTGAACGCCAGAAATCCCTCGCTCAAACACTCGTCATGTTCAAATGTGCTTATTGCAAATGCAGACCTGAAGTATGGTTTATACATTTCAAGCTGCCTATAACCACTTTCTATATAAAAACTTGTCCTCTGAAGAAAGTCAGTTTTTCAGTGTATTCAAGAAGAGGGACTGACAGATATGCAAGCATGTAGACAGGCAATCAGGTAGGCAAGCAGAAAGACAGACATGGAGACGAACGAAAAAAAGAAACAGAAATACCGCCAGTCAGTCAGTCAAATAAGCAGAGAGACGGCAGGTAGACTGGAGGTCTAACAAGTAGCAACCTGCCACAGTGGCTTTGGGAGGGAAGAAAGAGTCATTCAAATGCAGCTTCTGTTTGATCGCCGGGGCCGACCGTATGAATGTACTGTACCTACCGAGTACACAGCAGCTCCCTGAAACCTGATTCTCTTTGACTGAGAATATGCTTAGTAATAAACAGACTTACTGTGCTGTTGCGTATACCAATAAAAATAACTGCTGGAAGTAGAAAATAAGACCATTTTCTGCCTTTTCCTTCCACTCAGGTGTGTGGAAACAGACAAAATAACAGTGTGATTTATCCAGAGTGTCTTGGCAGGCACACGGTGTCAAATAAATGTCTGTAATGAAATGACAACAGATGTGAAGTGCTGTAGGGAGAAATGACACAGAATAGACGTCCTGCGAAGCAAATAATTCACCATAAACTGCAGAAACAGTGTGATGAAAACAAAAGCCTTGGCGGCATATTAAGATACAAAGACACAAACACGCACACAAACACTGAGAAGAACTCAATCAAAAATCTATCAAAACAAGAGTTGTATGAAAAGGCAGACAATATCTTCCTGCTCTGCAAATGGAGGGAATAAATAGCCATGCTAACCCTCATCCAAAGCAGCGCTGTGCGAGTATGCGCACACACATGTGTGTGCGCCTTAAATCAGCCGTTTAAAAACCTTGCACGGAACAAGGCACTGCTTGTAATTCAATTGGGCCAATGAGCAATAGACAGGAATTTTCATAATTCTGTCGAGGTGGCGATACGGCTGGCTGGCGACCGGGACCACAGGTCGCCCCTTTTTGAGTGACAGATGGGCTCAGCCAACCAGAGCGCTAAGCAGAGCCACCACCCCGACCCCTAAACGCGCACACATTCACACACTGACAGGCATGACAGGCACACGCAGGCACTGCATCAGAATTAGCACCACAGAAGTGCCAACTTAAAATAAAAAAAAAAAAAAAAAAGGACAGAGAGAGAGAAAAGTTTAAATAAAAAAAAGAGGAAGTCGGGTCAGCTGACAAAGAGTGAAACAGAAAAGAAACGACATTAAAAAAAAAAGCATGATACAGAAATGTGAAGAGATACAGACCATGGCAAAGGAAGATGTTTAGAGAGGCAGATATGGAGAGATAGGCAGGAGGGAGATAGAAGAAGGGTGTTACAGCCTGAAATACTTAAAGGGGATGGATAAAGTGATGTTTCACATGATAAAGACAGAGAGAGACAGATAAAGACGGTGATTCAGACAGAGAGATATGTGGAGAGAGAGGGGCTACACAGACAAGTGTGAAAGCGAAGCAGAGGAAGGAAGGAGAGTCTTAGAGGAGGAATGGGGGTAATGTGAAATAGCGATGAAGACGAATGGAGAGAGGAAGAAAACGTGAAGGAGTTTCAGTGGATCGAAAAGTTCTCTTACTCTCACATAATTTGAGGAAGAGAGACAGACACACAGGTCGATACTGTATCCCACTGGCATCAGGATCACCAGGTATAGAATATAGTGCTGCATGTACTATATAAGAATTCTCCAATTTAATTCTCTAATTAAGCAGTTTATTCCAATTTGGCAGTTAGTATAATAAAATAAATAAAGCAGATTTAGTATGCATAGTTTTTTAAGTCTCTTTTCCACTGCCACAGCACAACATACTCGAAACACGCTTAAAAAGACACAGCTCTGGTGTCTTTGGCTGAACTGATAAAAAAAAAAATGCACTGTTGTTGTAGCACATGGTTTGACACCCCTGATCTATACAGATAGAATTCACAAAAAAAAAAAAGTTAATAATAATAGTAATAGCAAATAATCAGCCCTCCCTGCAATGACTGGATGGCACACTGATGAAAAGAAACGACAG